GCTTTCCTGTGGGAAAGCATTGTGATTGGCTCAGGTCACCACTTTTGATGTCAGCCAAGAAGGCAGATCAGAGGCAGAGCTAGCAGCAGCAGACTGGAATAAATGTAAGATTGTACTATATTTAAGGAGGCATGGGGCAGTAGATGCTGTTTTTAACACTAAAGGCTCAGGAATACATGTTTGTATAAAGTAACTCAAGACATACACAAGCAGCAGTAATTTTTATTACTTTTTATTCATCACTTGTAATGTGCAATAACATTGCTGAATCTGCCAGTTGTGTCAAGATAAACCTGTAAAGTGATTACTGGTATATTGTTTAACACTCCACTATTAGCCAGTGTGGTTTCTCTGCTGCAAGATAAGATTGTTCTATTTCTAATGAATGAGTTTAGCAATGTATTACACAGGCCCGGACTGGCCATCGGGCACACCGGGCAAATGCCCGGTGGGCCGCGGTGGCCGTGGGGCCGAGGCCGGCAGGGAGATCACAGGATCTCTCCTGACGGTCTTTGCAGGGCCGGCGCTATCTGAACGCCGGCCCTGCAGTAGTCCATGGAGGGCCGGTGGGGAGATCAGAGATCTCCCCACCGGCCCACATGCAGGATAGTGCGGCCGCCGGGGCAGAGAGGGAGGGAGGGAGCCAGCCTGCCAGGAGAGGAACCCAGCGGAGCTTTAACTAACAGCTCCGCCGGGTTCCTCTCGCGAGATTCGGAGCGTTGCCATGGCAACGCTCCGGGTCTCGCGAGAGTGAACTCTCTACAGCCTTACAGGCTAGAGTTCACTCACCACTAAGACCACCAGGGATGGATGGCAGCCCCAGCAGCAGGATCCCCCTCCCAGGCTAAAGGTAAGCAGGGAGGGGGGAAATAATCACCTAACTAACATCAGCCTCACAGACACCCCTAACACTCACAGCACCCTCATTCACACACACACACTGCACCCCTGACACTCACACACACACACACACACTGCACCCTGACACTCACACACACACACACTGCACCCCTGACACTCACAGCACACACACACACTGCACCCCTGACACTCACAGCACACACACACACTGCACCCCTGACACTCACACACACACACACTGCACCCCTGACACTCACACACACACACACACACTGCACCTGGCACTCACAGCACACACACACACACACACACTGCCCCTGACACTCACAGCACACACGCACTGCACCCCACACTCACAGCACACACACACACTGCACCCCTGACACTCACCACACACACACACACTGCACACGCTCACAGCACACACACACACACACACACACACACACTGCACCCTGACACTCTCACACACACACACACACACGGCACCCCTGACACTCACAGCACACACACACTCCACCCCTGACACTCACACACACACACACACTGCACCGCTGACACTCACAGCACACTCACACACACACTGCACCCCTGACACTCACAGCACCCTCACTCACACACACACTGCACCCCTGAGACTCACAGCACACACACACTGCACCGCTGACACTCACAGCACCCACACACACACTGCACCCCTGACATGCACAGCACCCTCACTCACACACACTGCACCCCTGACACAGCACACACACACACACACACTCACATCACCCTCACTCACACACACACACTGCACACCTAACACTTACAGAACCCTCACACACACACACTGCACCCCTGAGACTCACAGCACACACACACTGCACCGCTGACACTCACAGCACACACACACACACACACACTGCACCCCTGACATGAACAGCACCCTCACTCACACACACTGCACCCCTGACACAGCACACACACACACACTCACATCACCCTCACTCACACACACACACACTGCACACCTAACACTTATAGCACCCTCACACACACACACACAGACACTGCACCCCTAACACTTACAGCACCCACACACTGCACCCCTGACATGCACAGCACACACCCTATCTGGCCCCGCCCCCTTTGTAGTGGGCCGCTGTAATTAAAAAATGCCCGGGCCGAATTATCTTCCCAGTCCGGCCCTGGTATTACATATTTAAATTGGTTTTCAGACATAAGTATTACAAAGTTGACAAGGATCTAAGAAACCTTCCAGGTTCATCCCAGTGTATTAAATGCATGGTCTGCTTCACTGTATTGATATATTCAGTATTTTTTTTTGTTGAAACGCTAATCACTAGTAAGATAACATGAAAATACCTGTGTGTTGAGTACTATTTGCTTTATTAAAAGAAAAAATTAAAATTCTGTTTTTTGCGTCTTAGGGAAGTGAATGTTTTCAGGTTAATTGGGAAATCAACAATTGAAGAATCAATGCTAAAAATTAGTCAGCAGAAATTACAACTGGAACAAGATATGACAACTGCAGATGCAGGTACGTCCATGTGGCTTTTAAAGTAATAGGCTACTTAAAGTAAACACTGGTGTTCCCAGCATATCTGTTAATTTGGGGGTTTTGGTTTTGTGTTTTGTTTTTAACCCTTAAGGACACGTGACATGTCATGACTTTTATTCCAGAAGTTTGGTCCTTAAGGGGTTAAACGTGGCCTGGTAAATTTCAGCTTTACTTGATCCAATGTATTTGTATTTTACAAAATATAAAATAATCTAAATGTTTATAGCCTTAACACTAAATTTGTTATTTACTTTATATAATATAATGAGAATTGATGGGTATCTACAATGCTTCTATCTGAAAGGTATGGGGGAAAAGAACATTTTATATGTATGGGTGCCAATGTTTAAAGATTTGGTTTGCATGTGTTTGTAACAAATGTAAAACAAACCATCTAGCAGTGTGCTGGCCAACAGACTGTGATTCAGCCGTTGCTAAATTTAAACTTAAATGATCTGCAGGGTTACTCCTGCTCATACTGGATTATAGAAGACTCTCAAGGTACACTTAATGCTTAATGTGTAGTTTTGGTGCAAATAGCCCTTCCTGACAAGCTGACAATTGTATACACCTTGTTTTCTAAGAAAAGGCAGTAATTACATTTGTACCTAAGTGCACCTCTAGTTACTATCTCTTAGAATTGACATTAGCCAACCTGGAACTCTTGTACTGAGCTGGCTAATGATACTGCAAGGTGGAGTTACACCTCCAGCAGCAAAGGGACTTTGTATTGCAGCGTTCGTGCTGCACATATGGACTCCAAGCACTATGACTACTTCAAATCACTGACCACTTAACATTTGAGAATGGGGGGGTTGTTAATTCCTAGTTCAATCCCCTGAAGTGAAGCACTGTTAAGATATACACTTAGGCAAAAACAGTCTTAAAATTTTGCTTGGGAAAAATTATTTATCGGTTTCAGTATCTGTTTCAATGATGATCTTTTTTTCTATCCCGATTTAGGAGATGAAGAATCCATTCCACTGGACATGGCCACTTTACTGAAAGAATCTTTAGGTCTTTAACATATGAGATAAATAAAATAAGTAGTTGCTAAAATGCAAAGGGTTTTTTTATTTTATACTAACTGAAAGTGATGAATATTTGTATTTTTTTTTTCTTCTTCCTCTTAAGCCATTTCTTAATGATGTTACATTTATGGACATTTAAAATGATTGGCTAATGGCACAATTTATCCTATTAAACTATAGCAGCTAATGACTCATATTTGGAATTCAATTCTCAGTATGAGAACCTTGTGGCCAATTGTTATTTGTAACAACAATCCACTAGTGCTTTAGATTGTCAGTATTTTGGTACTGAAATTTCCTACCTCTATCTGCTGTATTCAAATAGGTGATGTGTACATATATTTACATGTGCCTTTTTGACAACCATTTTATGTATGTTTACGTATATTGTCATGAATGTTTAAGACATTCACAACTTTGTTAAAGTATAAGATTTATGCCCTAGAGCTGTTATCATTTTTTTTTTTAATTGTTTAAATTCAAGTTTGTTTTTTTTTGTAAAAGAAACATTAAAAAATATATTTGTAAGTTGCTAAGAAGACTTCTGTTTTTTTTTTCCCCTCTGGAAAGTAATGGAATTCTCCTTATAGGCGGTATGAGATGTATTGGGTTTCTACAGTATGAGGTGCAGTGTGCTTTGTTTCCCTGCATTGATTGGTTTCCCCAAAAATTTAAGTATTGCTCATAAACAAACCTGTCACATACGCTACATTGTAAACACCATAAATGGATACTTTGGTTTCCGGCAGTTTTGGTGTATAGATCATCCTCCTGCATTTCCACCGTTCAATTCTCTGCCATTTATGAGTTAAATCACTTGTTTCTGGTCTATGCAGCCCTCGCCACAACTCCCCAGGCTGATAGTCTGCCAATACACTTCCTGAAAATGTCTACATTATTTTACTTCCCTTATTGCGGTTCATATTTAATTTAGAATTAATTTCATGCTCGTTTGTCTGCTAGAGTCTACAACAGTTTACTATGTATAAAGTTCAGTTAAAGTCAGAAAAACTTCTAAAGTAAACACACTGTGCTGTAAAAATTAAACCTCTTCGTGGAGGCTGTGTTAGTCACAGCCAGGGAAGGTGTGGCTGGGGATGCATTGGTTAAAGTACTTGAGCAGGGACACTGCAAGGGCATAATCTAAACAACAGCTTAATTAAGCTAAATGTGCTTTAGAGAATCCATTTTGGCAAATGGGAATATTTTTTGCAAAATATATATTTTTTTAGGAAACACTAATAATTTGGTAACTGTGACTCACACAGCATCCAGTAAAGAAAAAAAAAAAAGAGTTGACCTTAGAAGTTCTTATCTCCTGATCTTTTAATTTCAGTTTAATCACACAACAGGATAGTAGGACCCATCATTATTCACACTGACTGATAAAGCCTTACTCACACCCCTATTACCACTGAGGGCTACAACCGTACTCACCTCACTATTCCCACTGACTGCTACAGCATATACTTCCTAACTAACCAACTCTGACCCCACTGACTGCTTACTAGCACACTCGCATAACAATAAGTGTAAACACTCCTATGACATATCAGCTCTCTATAACAAGGGATGTGTTTGTTCCTAGACCACAAGATCTGTTAAATCAGAATAAAAGATTATGAAATAAAAACAAGTCAATTATATTTTTTCTGCATGCAACCTTTTATTCATTCAAGTCAAATCCATGCACTAAGCAGATCTTCTTCTGTGAGAAGTTAATGCTCCGTCTTAGGACGTCTTTCTAACCATGATGCAATTTGTGAAATGGATTGAACTCTCTTCTTAAGAGCTTGTAGGTTTGGAAGATTTTTTGCAAAGTTTGGGTCAAAAGCTTCAAGACCATCACTGAATGTGTCCCAGTAAAAGTCAGCCCAAGTTACCTAAAGGACATAAAAGGCACAAATTAAAAATGTAGATGCTTTGCTGGTAGATTATAGTTTTGAAATTTCATGTTTTATCTCCTGCTATGACTGCCTGTGTATAAATAACCATGGATTATAGGATTTTCAACATGTAGTGGTCGACCTTTTAGACACCCCTATTCTATACTGCAAACAGGCATCTTTGTAATATTCTTTTTTCCAGTCCACATTCAAAAACCTGTATTAATAAAGCGCAGCACAGATTACATGCAATATTTTAGCTATATTAGTCTGTCTGAGTTGAGACGAATATTGCAGATGTGGTACAAATCTACTCTTGTTTAACCAAAATGTAAAGTCATATAGATCTGAATTAAAGAGATACGGGTCAGATTAAATGATTAGTGATTGAACCCAATAGGCAATTTCTTTTTTGGGGCGGGGTTTATATAGATCTAAAGTTGCAGGCATTTATAAAAGTAGCATCTGGATGTTAAGATCTGAAAATGTCTCCTGTATTGTGTGAACGAGTGGGTTTTGATGGAAGGGTTTTAATCATTGTACTGGATGGGTATAATCAATTTTCATTATGCTCTGACTTTGCCACCAGCCTGATTTGTTTTTAAAAACATTTTTCTTTCAACACTAGGAATTTCACATATACCGGCACACTGGTTTTTGTACATAAAATTTACATTTGGCAAGTTGTTAAGCAAAAGGAAGTTGTTAACAGTTCCCACTTTCAATATTCTTTCTTATACTTTTGACCTTGAGAACCACAGTGACACATGTTCATATGCCCCACCTACATTATGCCTTGCCCCCACGTGTCCCACCCACCGAACTTCCATGGCTAATTGGGAGATCAAAGATCTCCATCACCGGCCAGGCCGCCTGGATGCTGAGGGGTAGGAAGGAGAACTTGGTCTACGTCATTGTACTGTATCACAGTGTTGCCGCGCATTACCACGGCAATGCCCTGAAAAACTCACTGGCGTTGGCTAAAAAGAGTTTCTGCACCCACTGGGGCTGCAGACAAGCAGATTTTACTACCAGATTCTCTCCTTCCTGGCCAAAGATAAGTCACAGATGGGGGTGTAAACTTTATTATTTAAATTTTTTGATATAAACACTACAATCCCTATGCCGTTGGCACCAACTATAGCCCCTTTCCACCCTGCACCCATTACAGCTTTTATTTCTTTACGAAGAACTCCAAATTAGGTCAACTACTGCAAGTGACTTTGGCCCAAGAATGCTGGTAGAAGTTAATGCACCACAGTCAAAGTGAAGTATTTATATTATTTCTATAGCAACCACAGTATTATACTACATTTTGCAAATGTTCTTGTCCCCTTAATATATGAATGTTTAACTGTAACATTAAGTACACAATTATCATACACTAATAGCATTGATAAAGGGTTACACGTGTTGCAGGGATTTAAACCTGAGAACTTCAAGCTGCACATATTTCTTTAGGATGTGTTTTTGCCTATTGTTCTACCATATGAACCTTTATGGGTGTTGCATTGGGATTGTTAGTGCAGATTGTAAACTCATTTGTCAATGACTTTCTTCACCTCTTGTCTCTTAATATTCTGTATATGAATTACTTGTTCAATATCCACATTCTACATTTGTAAAGCACTGCACAATGTTAGTGCTATATAAATAAGTAGTTAAACATGCATAGTATGTAACTGAGCTGATTCCACAGGTTGCTGTGAACTACTTCTGCTCAGCTATTAGAGAAATGTAATTCACAATTACAAGACGTTAATGGGTCTAGATCAGGCACTTCCAACACCTTCTTTAACCCCTTAAGGACCAAACTTCTGGAATAAAAGGGAATCATGACATGTCACACATGTGATGTGTCCTTAAGGGGTTAAAATAGACCTCTGTAAAACATTTTCTTTGTTAGCATTGTTAAAACTAATTTCATACTTTAAAGGGAAAGTCAAGCTTTAAAAAAAATGCTAATTTTAATGCACTTGAGCAAGTCATATGTAATTGTGCATTTATTATTTTTCTAAATTATTTGCCTTAGTCCCTAGCATTTATCCCCTTCTGTAAGTGATCTACACCCTTTTTGCTTAGTACTAACTTCCTTGTTTATGCCGGGCAGTCTCTAATCAAATAGTTTTCATAGAGAAGATTTGTGGACACTACACATTTGGAACCTAAAAAACCATGCAATGCAAAAATATATTGGTAAAATGTATATTATTACAAAGCTAAATACTGGATCACATTGTGTTGGGAGGTGGTCTCAAAATGTGCTTCTCGGATTCTCTATTTCAAAGAAGTGTTTCTTCCTGTGAAAATTAGATTTCTTCTGTCTTTATCTATTTTGCTGTCTTGCAATAATAGGCAACAAACAGAAAATGAGAACTTCTAAAGTAAATACACTCTTTTAAGACAGGTTTGTGATAGGGGGTTATGATACAACTATACATGTTCAACTTGTTCCCAATGTAAAACCTGTAAAGGCATGTACATTTGACTAATTTAATTGATTTTAAGCACATTTTTTTAAATCTATATTTTTTATCAAAATCTCATTTAAATGTTTACTTACATAGTCACCAGCAAACCATGTCTTATCTCCCAAACTTTTCTCCAAAGCAGCCAGTAGAGTCGGAGAACCATTTTTTATGTATTCCTCTTGTTTTTGTTTCTAAAGCAAAGATATCAGAATTAGTTATTTTGATTATTGAATTATTTAGGCTTTTGATTGCATTTTAGGCTCCCATACAGAGTAAACTTTTTTTTCAAGAGTTATCCAGTGAACATTATATTTTACTGATAGCTATATTCCTATTTCTTGTGAATAGTGATAGGGTGATTGACATCTGAAGGATTTGTGGAATTGCTGAATTCTTATTACCATAAAAATAGAAAAAAAAAATTAAACAGTGGGCACTCTGCTACTTGAATTCATATTTAAAAGTTGCTAGTTATCCTGGACCCACAATTCAGACAAAACATGAAAAATAAAAGGTCGAGCACACCTTATCAATTGAGCAATGGCACTGATTTGTGAGGGTATTTTGGACTACAGGTGTGCACAAATTCTTTTTAGCTGATACGGACAAATCAAACTTTTGATCTACGCCTAAACAAATCGATCCGTCCAGGTTTTACCTAAGCAGTCTTATTTAATCAACAAGATCATCATTGAATAAGACTCCACTTACAAATCCAGAACTGATAGATTAGTTTGGCCGTAGATGAAAAGGAATTTGATTGGTTTGTACAGGTAAAAAAAAAAAAAAAGTGTGAACAAGTCTATTTTTTTGACTATTTATTTCTGGCTATATTAGTGATTTACTGATTTAGAAAGTATTATTTTGACATAATTCTTCATGTTTTGCCTTACCAGTTAGGATCTATTTTCACATTGCCTACCAATTCTCATGTCTTGCAGTATTTTTTACTTTGCTTCTTTAGTACAGTAATCTTTCACATGGTCTTTTTAAATTACTGTTCCTTGACCTATGTGTTATTCACATTTGGATTACCAGCTTATTTTCAGGTTAGTTTATCTTATTTGCCTATCATACTAACTGTGCCAGTTTATGCATTCCAGCTCTTCAATTCTGGCTATCTGCTGATATTAAACTATTTATCTTTTCCTGCGTGGAGCGACAATAGCAAAGACAAATGATCATTTGTTGTATTTAAAATAAAAGTACTTTTATTTCCCAAACTTATCACATTTGTCATTGAAAAAAAAAAATCGTACCTTTTTTTCTTCATCTGGTTCAGACCAGGGGAAAGCAGATATAAAATCATCAAGGGAATCTATTATAGCATCAATACGAAGATTATCCAAGTCTGTCTTTCCAACAAGTCCTGTGGAAGAAAATAAAAAAATAAAACCACTATTAACTTGCAAACGTATTGAAAAAATTCTGATTAAAGCTTAATTGTCTACATTGAGATATTCACAAATGTTCTGGTAAACATACACATAAAAGTTTGGGGAATTAAATTGTACGCAAACTCGAACATGCACAAATTTTGAAATGTAATTGCATATGATGCAATCCTGTATTTTTCCTGGGACAGTCACACTTTTTGATCTGTCCTAGCAAAAACAGATCCTAGGAACTTTTCTTCTTTCTGAAATTTTCCAAGTAACTCTGTTTACAATAAGAACTATTACACATCTGGGCTAATTTTAGCATAATATACCCATTTTAACCCCTTAAGGACACATGACATCTGTGACATGTCATGATTCCCTTTTATTCCAGAAGTTTGGTCCTTAAGGGGTTAAACTTCTTGCATTGGGGTCAAATGAGTGGATGGTCATATAGGTGTCCCAGTGATTTCTCCCATATATTTAGCACCTTCCTGTCCCCAAAGTTGTCATGTATGAACAACTTAAACATGCGTCTTTTTCCTTACAAAAATCCTGCTCCGTTATTTTTTATACTAGTCATTCTGTGTGCAATATGGTGTTCTAAGAAAAAGCCCACAAAATTACACTGTTTTGGGGACAGTGATCAGTCTTGATTGAAAGGGACTTACAATTCAGTTTTTATGCAAAGAGAAAAGCAAGTACATATATACTATTTGTATGAAATGGGCATTTCTACATGCTACATATGATCTTCTATAAGGGGACATCAAAGCGTGAGTTGGATTTTTTCCCCAAAATCCCTCCATCTGAAGGGACATTAGAGAGGTTATTTCACCATAGCTTATGCAACGATCATAGGTACTTGTGCTTGGGTGTGCCTTATCACAAAGTTATAGTATCATTTATTAACCAAGATATTAATAACAGAATACATATCTTTAATATCTAATCTATGCATGGAATTGGACTAGGAAATGACGAACACTAGTTGTCTGACAAACTTGCAAAACTACCAAAAAAAAAAGCCCTGGTCTACAGTTTTACCTTTTTATATATATGTATAAAAATATGACCAGATGGTACGATATAGTATTTTACTTATTGCAATCCCTGATTTTATAATCTGTTTTCTCCTGAAGAAGTCTACATTGTAAGTAGACGAAACGTGTTAAGCTGCTTTCAACTATTGCCTGTGATTCCTGTTATTTACCTCTACTTCACACCATCTGGGATAGAGGTTTTTACTTCTTACTTCTTGTAAGTGGATTTAATTAAAGCGTGTCATTTTATACTTTGAAGCACTGCTGTGCTATGTCCAGTTTTTCTCTTTTTGCATGCACCCTTGGATACTGAGAATATCTACTGCAGAAAATTTAAAGAGATATTGATGGGCTTGAGGAATTCGTATATCCTGTGAGTGCATTATTATTATTAGGGGGTCCATTTTGCCTTATGGTGTTGCCCTATGAGTGTTTCTTTGTCTCTGTTTTTATTTTAGGTTTATCTTGTATCTCACATTTGTATTAGTACCTAAGATATAAGGGAATTAATTACCTTTATTTTATTATATATTGCTGCACTTGGGTGGTCTATAGGTATATATTAGTTTGCTTAAATGGAATGACTGCTTAATTCCAGATAATTAAATTGCCATCAGAAAATCATTCACTTCTATAATAGATGGAATGCAATGATAAAATTAGCATATACAGGTGATAGTACAGATCATCATGTTGATAGACACATACTCATGTTCAACAAATGTTCTAGCCAACTCTCCCAGGATGCCATTCAAAAATACAAGTGTACTTGACTATATATTATGTGCTTGTACTTTGCATCCTGCAATTGATCACTTTAATTTAGTTAGCACTCTTTAGTGTCCTGGTACACTAACTTACAAACAGACCTACACGTATATATATATATATATATATATATATATATATATTTATATATTTATTTATAAACAACTAGCCTTCTGATGGGATCTAGAATGTGTGTGAGGGACAACGAAGGGGGTAACCCTCAAATTGTAGATAACTAAAGAACAGAGCCTATGGGCAGAAGCCCTGAGGACAAAAGGAAGTCCCTATAAATCTGACTAACTGGTTTACACAATTTTTTGGATCTAGTATTTCCTCTGTTTGTTTATTTTGAATGAGACTACTTAGCTAGATAAATAGATTTATCTTTGCATATAATCTTTACACAGAGACACATCCACTACTGGATATTTAAGTAAAACTATCCACGTTATCATAGTGGGGGTGTGAGTACAAACGCTAAATGTTTCTTTCTGTTCCTAATAATATAGGACTGGCTGATATGCGAGGATGCAATGTTTTAAAGCTACAGCAGATATATTCTACTTTTCTGTAATTATCTGCTTTCATTGGTTTAATCCCTCTATACTTACATGGTTCATTCATTTTATTCTATTCCTTTTTTGTCCTGATATATATGACTTTGTAACTATGTTATACCTATGTTTATCATTTTTTCTTTATTTTTAGATACCCCAATAAATGTAAATTTTTAGTACATACAGATTTATATGGACTTCCTTTTTTCCTCTGCCCATAGGTTATCTGTTCTTTACAACACACACCCCACACCTTTATTTCAGATACACAATTCCATTGACTTTTTAGTAAGATGCACTGCTAGTAATGTCTTCAGGGTCTTCACACGTGCATATAAGCAAGTTATTTGACCATTTTTATTTATCTATTTGTGTCACAACTACTACATAGGAGAAAATAGAATTGTTTCTTCTATACCAACATTTCAGAACCTGTGTAAAATATTGGAAGATAAAGAATGCTGTACACGGTCTATATCCCTTGCTTCAAATAAATGGTTTGCTAATAATTTTCATTCAAATGTGATTTACCACACATTACCTGCTTGTTTTGCCAGGTATCTTGCTATAGCAATGCTTTGGTGATAAACAACTCCATCAATTTCTAAAATCGGTAGTTGTCCATATGGAATAGCTGCAAAAAGAAAAAAAAAATATATATATATATTATTTTCAAAAACTTCTTCCTTACTTTGTACTAACTCGATTCCATGTTCTCATATGTACCATATATGATATATCATAGGACCAAATTATTTTGTCTTATTACTGCAATGCCAAATTAAAAAGGTATACAGATATATCCATTTAGCTAAGAATTGCAAGACTATCCGAACAATTCTTTAAAAATAATTCATTACATAGAGACAAAAATAGCATGCATACATAGTGCTCAATTAACCTTTCTTAGATCAATAAATGATTACTCCAACCTCCATAACCATTTCTGCTTTTAGATGTGATCCTGGAGCAAGGAGTATGTAAGTTAAAGGACCACTATAGGCACCCAAACCACTTCATCCCAAACTGCTATGTTTACAAATAGGTTAATCCAGCTTCTAGTGGCTGTCTCATTGACAGCCGCTAGAGGCGCTTCCGCACTTCTCACTGTGATTTTCACAGTGAGAAGACGCCAGCGTCCATAGGAAAGCATTGAGAGTGGCTGAATGAGCGCGCGATGACGGGAAAGGAGGAGGAGAGTCCCCAGCGCCATGGGAGCCCGGCGCTGGAGAAAAGGTAAGATTTTAACCCCTTCCTACCACTAGAGCCCGGCAGGGGGGACGGGGACCCAAGGACCCTATAGAGCCAGGAAAACAAGTATGTTTTCCTGGCACTATAGTGGTCCTTTAACATAACATGCAGCACATACAGGGATATCTGCAATTTTGTGCCGGGTGCTACTTACATCAGCCTGCGAACGTGACGTAGGCAGCCTGGAAAGTCTGTTAATTCTGTACATAAATTACATCGGATGACAAAAGTACTCCGCTTCTACCCTTACAGGCAGCACTGGGAGCAGTGCCTGCAAGCGGAAGGAGAGATCTCCCGACTCCCTCCCTTATTTGAGCCTTTCCTGCATTCTGACTGCCTTTTTTTCTTATATTACATACCTCCTTTGTTTGCCTTCTATTCCCTCCCTCTCCTCCTCTTGGACTCAGAACACAAACTCTATGAGCCACATTTGATTGGACAACCAAGAGGAAAGAAGTGATAGGTCATGACATCAGATAGGGCGTGGAAGAAATTTGCCCAGCGCTAGTTTCAAGGTAAGTATATTCTTCTTTTGAGGGGGGTTGAACAAACTACTAGTGCCAAATAGGGCATTATAAAATATCAATTTTTAAAAAGGGTTGAAGTAACCTTTGCATTTTCACTGGTTAAAGCCTTGTGTAATTTTCTGACTTTTTCTTAATAACCACAAAAACTACTTTTGAGCCTGCAGGATTGCCAAAAGATTTAACTCCAGGTGTCTTTGATCAACTCTTCCCATGATCCTTAGCCTTAAGTTCTGGATACCTCTTAGTTATAATGGTACTACAAGGCAACTCAGATAACTTGTAGTTCTAACATTTGATTGATCCTGTATAGAAAGATAGCAATCTTTATCTATTTGTGATCTCTAATTTATCAGTTGGAAAAAAGTTGTTTTACAAATTATGACAGCAGCTTCTGAAATATTCCAAATATATATCACTCATTTATCAGGAAGTTACACTAGGACTCCTCATTATTTATTAATATATATATATATACACAAGGACTGTCTTTGCTTTACATTTGAAAATAACAATAAACCAAGATTAGTTGAAAGAGTTTATGTACCACCAAACTGAGTTTAAGGCAGGAGCACAGGAGGAGGTGCCCTGGTGGACAACAAGTTGTCAAAATTCTTGTAAACTGTTTGACTACGTACCATTGGAGGGCATCAGGGCACTTCTGGCAACTTACCACTATAGCGGGCTAACTATTTATTTACGTAGAAAGCAAAGAAGGTATAAATCCTCCCCAGATTTCTCAATATTTTGGTGTTTCAGTATTTCCTTTAGGGTTTTATTTTCTAAAGACCTTGATATTTCCCTTTTATATCCCTACTCTTTATTATCATTATATCCTTTTAATTAAATTCTATATACTTTATTTTTCTTAACTCTCCTTCAGATTTCCCTTCATAACAAATAGTAAAGAACTCTCTTGTAAAGGCAAGTATGGCTGAAGAAGGCCTCCTGAATTGACTGAGCTACGTCAAGGGTAGCCAAAACTGGATACTCTTAAAGGAACACTTTAGTCTCCTAGAGCAATTCTGCTTGCTAAAGTACTTTAGATTTTAACTGCAACCTTATTTCATTAGGAGAATTTCAAGAGAAAGTGTCACTTTAATAAAATATTCTTAGTAAAACCTCACCGCTAAAAAACAAAGTTTCCTTACACTTGCTTTGAACTAAAGTTCAAAGTGGAAGTGAGTGCTTCTCTATGAGAAGTATTTTTTTCAGTGCTTGCTGAAGTATTGTCAGTGTCCTAATGTTTCTTTATTAGAAGTATCTGATGGAAAGCAAGTCATCCGTAATGATGACTTTTTAGAGGGATGATCAAAGCTGTAGTGAGGAAATCCTCAGAGCTAGAATAAAGTTGAATTTAATTGATTTGTTTGTACTTGTATTATTTTTTGTACTAGTTTAATTGTTTACTACTTTTAGTGCTGTAAATGGGAGGGTGCACACTCCAATTAAATGTTAAACGAGCTTTTGAACATTGTACAAGCTTTAAAATAGACATTTAAAACCTGAATATAGCGCATGAATCAAGCTTTGAGAAAACTGCAAATTAAAGGCCAATATTGGAAACAATGAAAATTAATTACTCCGTAGGTGTCAGCTTACAGAGATAAAATTTCATTCCAATACTGTACTGTCCAAATTGTAAACAATTGCATGCATAAAAAGGTATTTCACTAAATATTCTTTAAATTACCATATTTTTTTATCTTTCACCAATGTCATAGGCAAGTAAACATCTAGTAGATAAAAACACTAACTTTGTGGATATAAAAGCTTTTTTTTTTTTAAATAAAATTGATGTCCATTAGTCTATTTCAGCACATCTGTTAGAAACATTACACATTCACTTCCCACGAGCAACACGTTTAGTCCTATGTGTGACACTTTTAACCTTGAACAGGTTCATTACTGCAGACATTGCAAATAACTGTTGATTCTGCTAGTAGAGCGGCTGCAGGGACATAAGCTGCTCAGGACATATATTCTTTCTCCTGTCCCCTAAAGTGCTCCTTGTCAGAAATAACATTATTTACATATCCCATTCCTCACAGGCTACATAGGTGAGGATGCATTTTGTATGTCTCTTCCCCAAAGAACCCTCTGTAAGTCTCTCTCTCCCCACAGCACCTTTTGTATATCATGCTGCTAAAGAAGCTTTGATGCATTGAGCAATGGACTCCACAAGACCTCTAAACGTGTCCTGTGTATCTGGCATCAAGACATTAACAGCTGATCCTTTAAGTCCTGCAAACTGTGAGATGTGGCCTCCATGGATCGGATTTGTTGTTCCACACATCCCATAGATGCTCAATCAGATTGAGATCTTTAAATTTTGGAGGCCAAATCAACACCTTGAACTTTGTCATGCTCCTCAAACAATTCTTGAACCATTTGGCAGTGTGCATTATCCTCCTGAAAGAGATCATTGCTGTTAGGGAATACCATTGCCATAAAGGGGTATACGTGGTCTGCAACAATTTCTAGGTAGTTGTCAAAGTAACACACTCATAAATGCCAAGACCCATGGTTTCCCAGCAGAACATTGTCCAGAGCATGACACTGTCTCCACTGGCCTGCCTTCTTCCCATAGTGCATTCTGCTGCCATTTCTTCCCCAGGTAAATTATACACATGCACCTGATCGAAAGGAAAAATGTGAGTCATCGGACCAGGCCAGGTAGACAGGGGTCATCATGGACACTCTGAATGGTCTGCAGCTACACAGCCTTCACGCAGGAAACTGTGGTGCAAGCTGTGTTCTGACATCTTTCTATCATGGCAGCATTAGTTTTTCAGCAATTTGAGCTACAGTAGCTCTTCTGTGTGATTGGATAAGACGGGCCAGCCTTCGCTCCCCACATGTATCAATGAGCCTTAGGCGCACATAACTCTGATGCCGGTTTACCGATTGTCCTTCCTTGCACCATGTTTGACAGTTACTAACCACATCATACTGGGAACACACCACAAAAGCTGTTTTGGAGATGCTCTGACCCAGTCATCTAGCCATCACTATTTGGTCCTTGTCAGTCACTCAGATCTTTTCACTTGCACATTTTTCCTGCTTCCCACACATGAAATTCGAAAATGACTTCCCTTACTGCCTAATATAACCCACCCCTTGGTTGGTGTCATTTTAACAATAAAATTTATGTTGTGGCTGATCAGTGTATATCGATGGACCAGAATGTATTATTTATTTTGTTTACACTAATCACTGTTTATTGTATTGTTATGTGTCTTAGTTAATTTAGGAAGGTTAAACTCAGATTATCACTTTTGACTTATATTGTTTTATTTCTAAAATACTGCCATCTGCACAATTTCTTCTTGTTTATACAGATATGATTTTTACAATAATCTTTATAACAGTGAGAAATCTATAAATGAAGAAATAGTTTTCCAAATTAAAATTATTTCACAAACATTATCACTTTTACCCCACTAAACTGTAGCAATGCCATACTCAATGGATTAATTATTCTGAAATGAATGTTTGGTTATTTTTTTAAACATTTAGTATCATGTTCTGACATCTACCAAGTAAATTACTGAAAAGTGTGTACATATTTGCCTGCCTTTTTTCACAGGAATGTAAGTCAAATGAGAAAACTCCCAACCTTCTGTGACCATTGTTCTTGATAATAAAAATGAGAAAATGTCATGTGAACTGAAATACAGTGTGCTTTTTGTATCTAAAAATAAATGTATTTTAAATTAGAAACAGTGTCTCAAATTTAATCTGTTAAAAAGTCAAGTGACAAGACAAAGGGTCAATGTTTGTCAAGTCAAACTGGCTATGAAACTACATAGCAAGCAGTATTCTTTTATCCATACATTTTTAGGGTGAAATTGAGTTTTAAAAGGATTCTATGGGCACCCAGACCACTCCATCTCAATAAAGTGGTCTGGGTGCCATGTACCTTCTGTTTTAACCTTGCAGCTGAAAACCTTGCCATTCTGGCACACATGAGCACTAGCCTCCCAATGTATTCCTATGAGAATGTGAAGGCATTGAATTGGCTGAGATCAATGTGTAAAGCCAGAGACCAGTGCTGTGAGGGTGGAAAGGTAAATAAACATTACATTTTCAACCATGGCAGCAGGGGCTCGGTACCAAAACAGTAACCACAGCACCATAGTGGTAGGAACACAAATTTGTATTCTTAACACTATAGTGTTCCTTTGCCCTCCTATTAGTTATGGTTTCATACTCAGAAATAACTGCCTTGACAATAACATGAAAATATGTCTGTTGTGCAGGAAAAATATGTGGGCTGAGAAATAGTGTGTGTGTGCGCGCACGCACGCATGCACACACACACACACACAGTGAATAACATTTATTATATCATTAGACCATTTATTTTATATCACTGGCACCTGTCAAGGGATGAGATATATTTGGGAGCAAGTGAACAGTCAGTGAATTTCATGTGTTGCAAGCAGGAAATATGAGCAAGCAAAAAGATCTGAGTGACAAGGGCCAAATAGGGATGGCTTGACAACTGGGTCATTGTATCTCCAAGTTTTGTGGGATACTCTCGGTATTCAGTGGTTAGTACCTAACAAATCTGGTGCAAGGAAGGACAACTAGTGAACCAACATCAGGGTCATGGGTGACCAAATACGTGATAGTATAAAAATATATATAAATAACCTGAATATATATATATAACCCTCTTACTCTTTTATATATTCCACGGAGGATCGTCTTTTTATAAGATTGCTACCCCTGGGAGGGTGAGAAGCCTGATTCCAATTTTGTTTGTGAGTGCACTTATTTCCACCAATATATCACTCACTTGTTTAGTACTGTACTATACTATGTCAGTCTTTTATTTTTCATACAGATTTCGTTTATAAATACGACCTATATTTCAGGTTATTTATATATATTTTTATACTATCACGTATTTGGGAGGTGTTTTCCACTTGGTTTTTGAATTATATGTGTATTAGGTGTTAGTGAGGTACACCTGGGAGCTCTCCCTAATATCTGATCTTCACATCCTGTATAGTGTGTATACTTCTTGGTTTTGTCATGGGTGACCAAGGCTCATTGATGCATGTGGTGAGCAAAGGCTAGCCTGCGTGGTCCGATCACACAGGGGGGTTACTTTAGCTGAAATTGCTGAAAAACAAATGCAGGTAAAGGTGTCAGAATACACAGTGCACTGCAGTTTACTGCGTATGGTGGTGTCTAGCTGCACTCTGGTCAGAGTGCCCATGATGACCCCTGTCCATTGCCAAAAAAGTGCCTTTGGTGGACATTAGAACTGGTCCATTGAGCAATGGAAAAAGATTTCCTGGTCTGAAGAATCACAATTTCTTTCAGATCAGGTAGATGGCCGTGTGTGTGGTTTACCTAGGGAAGAGATGGCCGCAGGATGTATCTTGGGTAGAAGGTAGGCCAGAAGCAATGATCTACTGGGAAATCATCTGTCCTGGAATTCATGTGGATGTTACTTTGACACATACTAGGTTGCAGGCTACATGCACCTTCATGGCAATGCCCTCTTTCAGCAGGATAATGCTTAAGGTGCAAAAAGACAAATTTATGTGTACACAAACCACAGTGCAATAGGTGCTCAATAAAATGTAAGCAGAAAAGAACCTCCCTGGACAGGGTAGAACTTCCCCGAAGACCTCCTCTTGTCTTCAATGAAATATATACAAGAAAATAGGGGATGATCTGCTAAATCAATGATAAACAAAAGAACATTGCGTATAACTGTGTATATGAATAAACCACGAGTGTAAAATTCACAAATGGATAATGCTTAAGTCCTCCTCTAGTGGCTGTCTACCAGACAGCCACTAGAGGGACTTCAGGGTTCTCAGACGACTTTTAGTCGTCTAAATGACATTGCACGTCCTCACACTCTGCACGAGAACTTCCAGCGACACCAAAATCACCATAAGAAAAGCATTGAATAATGCTTTCCTATGGGGAGGTCTAATGCGTAGGCGTAGGAGGAGCATGACCCAGCGCTGAGGAATGGGAAGCAGTAGAGAGGTGGGTACTCCAGGATTCTACAGTGCCATGAAAATGGGTTTGTTTTGCTTGCACTGGAGAATCTCTTTAAGCAGACGGGTTAAATGTTGTGGCTGATCAGTGTATATTTTTTGAAGACCTTTTCCTTTGTATCATTCTATTTTTTTTTTTTGTCTATGAGCCTTAATGTTTCATCTAGTAGGTTAAATAAACACTTTCTGTACCATACAGTTAATGTATTACTCCCAGAGTAGCAACTCCATTTCTTAATACCACAGTATTTGTCAGTACCTTTCTCAATTACATGTTCATTAATAGCCTAAAACATGAGAAAACAAATACAATAATAAGGGCAGTAAATAATCATTCCCTATACTCCATATCCTCGAAGGACATCAGTTTATATGGGTGGTGCTCATCCTTACTCATATTGTCTTCTAGCACAAAGTGGAAGGACAGAGTTCAGCCCAATTACGAGCATCTTATTACTTTAGAGGCACATGTGCACAAGGTTGTGTCAATGGAGCAATGATTTCTACACTTGGATATACTCATAATAAGACAATCAGCTTTTTATCCATAAAACCAGCATTGGGTGAATGTGGTATTGTGAATTTTTGTGCCTATAAAAGAGAGATTTCTGTTATAGGCTTCAATTGCATTGCTGCTGACCAATTTAGCAGCATACATTCACTTAGCATAGAAAATATGAAATTTGGCGATTCAATCCCATGTATTGAGGAAATAATCCTCTATAATTGGCCTTGAAAACTTGCTAGATTACTATAACATTTCCCTCATATTAGTAGAAGAGAGTTTTTAAACCTCCCCATGCCCACATTTGCTATGCCAAGAGTGGATGCATTTTGGCTAAACTGCGAGCAGCCAGCAGCTTGTAAAATGCTAGGAACTGGGCAGATGTTGCTGCCCAGTTTGCTAATAACAAGTAAGTAGTCACACTAGGGTAGTTGTGGAATGCATGAGAATGAAAAAGCAGGTAAGTATGAAGAAATCATATGTTCAGCCTGCAGAGTGAGGCAACAGTCTCATGCAAAGCTAAAGCTTTTGAATGAGACCATTGTCTCAAATTGATGCAGGTCTATTTAACAGCCTGGAGGGATCTAGAGTTCCCCTATACCCCACCCACTTCCAGGGGGACAGTAGTTCCTCCTGGTTAAATAATAGCCCCCACTGTTCACCAATATTTTCTTTTCCACAAAGCAGCGGACCTGTTTATTGGGTTCTGCAGGTAGAATTTCAGCTGGCATAACATCCAGTCAAAATTTAATAACAATACTGACCAAAACCTGTCAATAATTTTCAAGTGGATTTTGCAGATAAGTTGTGCATCATTCCTGACACCCAGTCTGGTTTAGATGTTGTACATCCATTTTAGACTGGAGATGCTCGTTTTATCTTATTACCATGAAATCCATTAAATATTTACTACAGAGTCAGATATACAGTCATGCATTTTCTCCTATAGAAAATCTAGGATCCTAGGTTATTGCAAACATCGGGCCTCAAACAAAATTTCTTAAATTCTTGCCTTACAGCTCCTGAGGTTAGTGTGCCTGGTAATTTAAGACTACATTTACACCATCTGCTAATATACTATATTAACCATTTCATTTGTTTTACTAATGCGACACTATTTGAATAAGCTTCAGTCAATTAATATTGCAATAAACTCATTTGAATACTTACAGGGTTTTAGTGCAGGCCATTCTGAAAATTCAATCCTCACATCCTCATACTCCGTGTTCTTATAGGCAAAGATGTAACGGATAAGCTCAGCTCTTCCTTTGAAGTTAAAATATGTCAGCTTATATGTCGGCATGGTTGTTTTCTGAAAATAAGTAACAGAATTGTCATGTACATTCATTTTAAAAGGGCATCTTTAAACAATAGATGTGGAACAAGATAATATCATATTTTTTAAAGTAATATATCTGTTGACATTGACATTTACTTCATTAGTATTACAAAAAAAAAAAAAACTATGTATGTATCATGTTTATATATTTTGCAGTACACTAATAGGCATTTTTATGTGCCATTTTTTTTTTTTTGCTAGCAAGGCAAGTAACATCACTTTCTGCCTGCTTTCCCAATGTTGAGCGGCATGATATTATAAGCCAAATGTATATGCAAAATAGTAACAATAGACTGAATGCAACAAACTCTAAAAACAGATTAGATTACCATCTCATTTACACTAAACGTAGTCCGAGCAAATTTGCAGCAGAAATAAGCAACAGAAAGTGATAAAATGTCCCATGAATAATCACACCAAGTAGATCTATGTATATACAAGTATGTAACTTCGACAATATGCAATTTAATTCATTAAAATATCCACTGTTAAAAAAAAAATGCAAATATTGATACTACATAACTGATAAAAGGTATGTTACTCTGTAAAGTATATATATATATATATATATATATATATATATATACACATATACATACACCTATATACACAGACTCCTGTTCTATGTTTTTCAATGATGACCAATGTACAATAATTGCATCTTGCGTCTACCCACATTGTTGTATTTTTATGTTGCTCTGTTATAACATTTTTGAAAAATATAAAGAATTTAAAAAAATATTTTCACTTCAATAAAGTAGGCAGCTAATTCTTATAAACAATACGACCAAGTATACAACAATGATTTTGATGTAGAAGTGATGACTAATTTCTCAGCTATCCACAGGTTTAATTGATTACACTAAATCGCTTGTATGGACTGATTACTTAACGTCTTATTGGAAAAGCCACTGTTGGTGAGTGAGACTCACCCAACGTTAGGTCATGTATCGTAAACCAATCATGAGATACATTTATTATTCGATTATTTATTAAGCACCAGCAAATTCCATAGTGTTGTAAAATTTAGATTGCAAGCTCATGGGCTATCTAACGAGGCACTTTGTATAAAAGAGCTGTAATGACTAGATCTCAGCTCACGGGCAGCACCTTCTGTGTATATTGTACTTTTTTTTTCATCCAATTGTACAGCGCTGCGGAATGTGTTGGCACTTTATAAATCCTAGTAATTATAATAATCATGGCAATTGATTTGAATTCTACTAGGACTATACAGGTGATACTCGAAAAATTAGAGTATCGTGCAAAAGTTTATTTATTTCAGTAATGCAACGTAAAAGGGGAAACCAATATATGAGATAGAGACGCATTACATGCAAAGCAAGATAGTTCAGGCCGTGATTTGTCATAAGTTCGATGATTATGGCTTACAGCTCATGAAAACCCCAAATCCACAATCTCAGTAAATTAGAATATTGTGAAAAGGTGCAATATTCTAGGCTCACAGTGTCCCACTCTAATCAGCTAAGTAAGCCATAACACCTGCAAAGGGTTTCTGCGCCTTTAACCCCTTAAGACAGGAGGGCGTACAATTACACCCTATTTTAGACGGCTCTAAACGCCGCCGGGCGTAATTGTACGCCCTCCGGTCTTTCTTTACTTACCCGGTTGCCGGCGGTCCCATGCCGGCGATCACGGTGGGGGGGACTCCCAGGGAGCCCCCCCGCGGCAGATCCTCCTCCTCCTCCGGTGCCCCCGGCCATGTGAGAGTGAGGTCCTTGCGAGGACCCCACAATCACATGGCCGGGATAGCTGCCTCCTGCATTGCCAGCAGGGGGGCTGCCTGTAATGACAGGTGGTCCCCCTGCTGGCTGGAAATAAAATTAAAATAAATTAATTAAGTGTAAAAAAAAATATATATATACTTAGATCATATATATTATATATATATACACATATACATACACACACATACACTGTCTAGGTGTATTTTACTATTAATATTATATATATATATATATATATATATATATATATATATATAAATATCAAATTACACGTAGACTGATACTGATTAAATATATATATATATATATATATATATATAATTATTGTTATATATATTTATATATAATATAAAAGAATAAAATATGTAAATACGTTAAAAAATAAAATTAGAAAATAAAAAATAAATTAAAAATATATAGATGTGTGTTATTTCGTTGTAACTGTATTGTGATATTAATATATATATATATCAAAATACACGTAGAACAAAATAATATATATCTACATACATAAATATATACGTATATATCACTATATATATATATATATATATATATATACATATATATATATATATACATATACACACACACACACACACACACACACACACACCTATATATAAAAAAAATATATTTAAACAAAAAATAAAAAAAATAAAAATAAAAAAAAATTATATATATATATATATACACATATATACATACATACATACACACACACACATATACACACACATACATACATAAATTCTACATATATATTTATGTAATATTTTTACATAATTAGGTATCTTAATTAATTAGAATTAGCGGGACCTGCCTGACAACCCATGCCGAAAGTAAAGGGAATTTAATTTGCTAGCACTATATTTAACCCTATAACTTTCCAAGACACCATAAAACCTGTACATGGGGGGTACTGTTCTACTCGGGAGACTTCGCTGAACACAAATATTAGTGTTTCAAAACAGTAAAATGTATTACAACGATGATATCGCCAGTAAAAGTGACGTTTTTTGCATTTTTCATGCACAAACAGCAGTTACACGGACGATATTATTGCTGTGATACTTTTTACTGTTTTGAAACACATATTTGTGTTCAGCGAAGTCTCCCGAGTACAACAGTACCCCTCATGTACAGGTTTTATGGTGTTTTCAAAAGTTACAGTGTCAAATATAAGGCTTGCGTTTCATTTTTTTCACATTAAAATTTGCCAGATTGGTTACGTTGCCTTTGAGACCCTATGGTAGCCCAAGAATGAAAATTACCCCTATGATGGCATACCATTTCAATAGTAGACAACCCAAGGTATTGCAAACGGGGTATGTCCAGTCTTTTTTAGTAGCCACTTAGTCTCAAACACTGGCCAAAATTGGCGTTGTTTGCATTTTTCACACAAACAAATACTAACGCTAGCTTTGGCCAGTGTTTGTGACCAAATGGCTACTAAAAAAGATTGGACATACCCCATTTGCAATACCTTGAGTTGTCTACTATTGAAAATGGTATGCCATTGTGGGTGTAAATTTCATTCCTGGGCTACTATAAAGTCCCAAAGGCAACGTAACCAATCTGGCGAATTTCAATTTCAAATGTAACGTGCTATATTTGACCCTGTAACTTCCCAAAACGCCATAAAACCTGTACATAGGGGGTACTGTTTTACACGTGAGACTTTGCTGAATACAAATATGTGTATTTTATTGCAGTAAAAGCAAACAGTATTATGACATTGACAGTTAAAATGTCATGTAGAACTAAAAAAATAAAAATAAATCTTATTTTCTCCCATTTTTTTCATATTAAATTATGTTTCATAGCTAAATATTTGATATTAAATGAAAGCCCTGTTTCCCCTGAATAAAATGATATATAATAAGGGTGGGTGTATTTACTATGAAAGAGTTGAATTACGGTTGGACAGACATGTAGCGCAAATGCCAGGTTTTGTTTACATTTTGTTTCGTTCACAACGTGTACATTTGGCTCTCTCCTTAAGGGGTTAAATTGTCTCTCAGTCTGGTTCAGTAGGAATCACTATCATGGGGAAGACTGCTGACCTGACAGTTGTGCAGAAAACCATCATTGACACCCTCCATAAGGAGGGAAAGCCTCAAAAAGGTAATTGTGAAGGAAGTTGGATGTTCCCAAAGTGCTGTATCAAAGCACATTAATGGAAAGTTATGTGGAAGGGAAAAGTGTGGAAGAAAAAGGTGCACAAGCAGCAGGGATGACCGCAGTCTGGAGAGGATTGTCAGGAAAAGACCATTCAAAAGTGTTGGGGACTTTCACAAGGAGTGGACTGAGGCTTGAGTCAGTGCATCAAGAGCCACCACCAACAGATGGATCCTGGACATGGGCTTCAGATGTCGCATTCCTCTTGTCAAGCCGCTCCTGAACAACAAACAATGTCAGAAGTGTCTTACCTGGGCTAATAAAAAACAGACCTGGTCTGTTGCTCAGTGGTCCAAAGTCCTCTTTTCTGATGAGAGCAACTTTTGCATCTCATTTGGAAACCAAGGACCCAGAGTCTGGAGGGAGAATGGAGAGGCACACACTGCAAGATGCTTGAAGTCCAGTGTGAAGTTTCCACAGTCTGTGTTGATTTGGGGAGCCATGTCATCTGCTGGTGTTGGTCCACTGTGCTTCATTAAGTCCAGCGTCAATGCAGCCATCTACCAGGAGATTTTGGAGCACTTCATGCTTCCTTCCGCAGACGAGCTTTATGGGGATGCTGACTTCATTTTCCAGCAGGACTTGGCACCTGCCCACACTGCCAAAAGCACCAAAGCCTGGTTCAATGACTGTGGGATTACTGTGCTTGATTGGCCAGCAAACTCGCCTGAACTGAACCCCATAGAGAATCTATGGGGCATTGCCAAGAGAAAGATGAGAGACATGAGACCGAACAATGCAGAAGAGCTGAAGGCCACTATTGAAGCATCCTGGTCTTCCATAACACCTCAGCAGTGGTTGATAGCTTCCATGCCATGCCGCATTGAGGAAGTAATTACTGCAAAAGGGGCCCAAACCAAGTACTGAGTCCATATGCATGCTTATACCTTTCAGAGGTCCGATATTGATCTATGTACACTCCTTGTTTTATTGATTGCATGTAATATTCTAATTTACTGAGATTGTGGATTTGGGGTTTTCATGAGCTGTAAGCCATAATCATCGCACTTATGACAAATCACGGCTTGAACTATCTTGCTTTGCATGAAATGTGTCTATCTCATATATTAGTTTCCCCTTTTACATTGCATTACTGAAATAAATGAACTTTTGCACGATATTCAAATTTTTCGAGTATCACCTGTACATTTCCCTTGGGTATTTTCTCTTTTAATAACAATTATCACAGCCTCTTGTTCTAAGGGGAATCATACATGTTTTGTATCTATCATGTTAATCAGGTGTTTTGTAATCAAGTTCAAACAACATTAATACATTTAATCTGAAACTGTAACTAAATACAAAGGGCAGAATTGACAAAATGACAGATGCCGTTTGACTATTTCACAACTAAAACAAAGTTGTGTAATAACTATTTGCCTTTGAACCACTTGCCTTGCACTTGTATGGTAAGGGTGAGAGTACATAACGGCGTCTTAACTTATTTCCATTGCAAATTATGCCTATAATTCATTCAATTCACTAAACTGTTTCAGTAACGTGTTTCAGACAAAATAAAATAGAAAGAAAGAAAGTATCTGCAACAGATATATATATTGTATTTGGTGGAAACACGAGGTATATCCACAAATACCTGACTTGTATGAATAGCCATCTTATACAATACAATAGATAAATGGCTAAAATAAATAGTAGTTTGAGTACTAAAAGTAGGGCAATTGCCATGGAAACCAGTGCACATGCTATCAGTGACTTCTTCCACTTTTTTTCTAAACCAGTTTTTAGAAGAGACCACTTTTATACAATGCCCCCATTGTTTCAGTTCTCCTCTTCTTTGTGCTGATTGAAAGGTGCACAAGATAGAGAGTATAATGACGATTGGGGGACTGACTACTTAACATTTTCTCAGATGTTAACGAATAAAAAAGGTGTGGGTTTTTACATTTCATTCTAATTTTTACACCTCACAAGTACATATATATTAGATTTAGGGATAATGTATATATTTTACTTTGATTAGTTTTTTTGGACACCACAAGAACTTTAATTCTGGGTAAGTCTCTCATTCCTATTCAGCAAAGTGAGAATTAGTCGGGAATTCAAGGGGAATTTCCAATTTAGGGCAAACGTAACCTGGACACATAGCTGACTTAGAGAAATTTTCCAGTTCTGCTATTTTGACCTTAAAGGGACACTAAAGTCAGCCAGACCAGTTCATCTCAATGATGCTGATACACGTCACGCGTAACCTCATTGGAAATTCGCTTTAGTCTTTTCCTGGAGGGATGATTGGATGTGTGTGCAGCGGTAACTGCACATGCACATCAGGTCCCAGTGCCCCTCTATGAGGAGTATTGGACTGGATCACCGCACAGACCATAGACCATGCCTCCTCTTTGACATGACATAAGGCAGAGAGATTAGCAGTGCTGAGTGAGCCTAGGTGCTGGGAAAAAGAAAAGTAAAACTTTTACTTATTCATATTTTGTCTAATATGGGTTGGGGCACTACTATAGAAAAGGACAAGGACACCATTGCATTAGGAATACAGGTTTATATTCCTAATGCTATAGTTTTCCTTTAAATGTCAAAATCATGAATTGTCACATTAGTGAATAACCCTGACTTAGTTAATAACTGCTGGAACACCAGGGTTCAAAGGATACATATCTCAGTTTTTACAGATGTATAGTCATATACTATTTTTGATAATCCTGCCGGACGTTGTATTAGTACAATCTACAAGAAAATAGGCAGGGTGAGATAAACTGGTAACATTTTTCACATGACTTGGTTATTGATTAGCCAGGTATGACTTGCAATAAATATCTAACAGACTGTAACTAGCTATTATCTGTAAAGGAAATGATTTGTTGCTGTTGCAATACATGTTGTCAGAAATGTAATTCTAAACATGTGCTTCTGGTTTATAAAGCTTGAATCAGATAAATACATATTACCCTACAGACATCTTAATTATTGTAGGTACTTCTACGAATAGAAAAAGGCTACATAATTAGTATTGCTCAAAAGACTGTGGCAGATAAATAATTGGCCATTATTAGTTGGGAACAAGATCAGCTCTTGTAATTTCTATAAATAAATCATTCAATCATTTACTACCAAGGACTGATGGAAAAGAATGGGGCTAACAAATGACTGAATTGTGTTGAATCTACTTATGGACAGATGTATTCTGATCCATATCAATGTATATTGTCAATTTTGTGATCCGAAGTGTTTCTAGTTCATAATGTTGATTTTCTATAGAATAACCCCTTATGAAGTCCAAGGGTAATTAGTAGGTGTATGTGTTTATTGAGAGAGACAGATTGTTGTAAACATTCAGGACATTACATAATACTTTTCCATACTATTTCAGTGATATATGTTACCCAAGACCATACAATCAAATAAGCTAGGCAGTAAAGTATCAGCTTGTCAGGGGTCCCAAATATAATTTGTGGGGTTGTTTAAAAAGGCAGTAAGGCAATCCACAGTGATAGGGTCTTTCACTAGCCCCGGGGTGGTAGACAAATAAGTGAGAGGTGGAGAAGGATAATTTGTCTAATGTTGCTTCTTCCCGCCAAGGCAACCCTTGCAGTAAGCTTGTTTTCTGAGGAGTTTAGGGGTTTAGAACAAACACAGAAGTATATATAAAAGAACTAAAAACTTTTCAAAAGCTTACTCTTTGGCAGAAGGAATGGTGGCAGATAAGCTTTCAGAATAAGAAAGATTGAAAGATTGTTATTTCAAGGATCTTGGCAACACCATATGCACCAGTCCAATTTATCCGAGCAAGAGACAGGGATATGCTGTGAGCTGAGAGAAGTCGGTCAGGGTACAGGGATAGATAATAATGTTCCATTGTTAGATTATAATCAAATAGGCTCTCAAAGATTATAATCAAATAGGTAGCAGGGAGAGGATAGGGAAGCTTCCATATATTGCAAATATTGTATTTCCTGTAAACGCCATACTTCTACAAAGAAAGCCCAAGAACAAGGTGGTAGACCAAGAGAACGAAGAGAAAGATTTAGAAATGATCACTTTCAAAAAAAGGAGAAAACAAATAGGGATCCTATTTAGAGGGAAACTTTAAAAGTATTTCAGAATTCAAAACATTTTATAATTTTTTTTTTTAGGTTAGAGTGTTGATGTTTAACGTTGTTATCAAAATATCTTCTCAAATTATGGTTGTGACTCAAGTGCTCCATATGAATGGGAGATGAAGTCTTGTCTTGGAGATGCGAGTAAGAGTGGTTTCCAGCACAATGCAAGTGAAATTAATAGTTGGTACTATTGTGCACATCTTTCTAATGTTGTATGCAAATTAGAAATCCTCTGTTTTTTGGCCTCCGAATGTAGGGATTAAAGGGTTACTCCAAGTACCATGACCACTTCAGAGATTTGAAGTGGTCATGGTGCATGGAGTCTGGATATGCAGCATTTTGCTATGAAACACTGCAAATACAAGGTTGCTGCTGGAGATATAACTACCTCAAGCTGGGTCATTGTGTCATCATAGGCCTGAAACAAGAGTGCTGGCTTGGCTAATGTCATTTATGTGCATATCTCTAGGCATAGAATGACACTGTTTGGCTGAGAGCATTCACTCTGCACCAGAAGAGACCAGGAGCCTGTAGGTGACCTAAGTAAGAGGGCAAGCCATTGCAAACATTTGACCCATTACTGAGGAACAGTACCTAGGTTCTCGTGGCATCATAGCCACTACAGTGGGTTGTAGTGGTTATGATGCTTTGAGTAAACCTTTAACAGTAAGTTTTTAGAGCCATTTCTACTTTTGTATTAAATGCATGACTTTCTATGCTGCAAATCCTTTTGATTTCCTGCAGGGTAGTTTGCTTAAACATGGCACAATAGCTGTAATGTCCCTTATGTACACATATATTCTAACTGATTGAAGTGCTTCTAATTCAAAACAACAATTATCTTCAGAAGTAAAGCTAAAACAATCCTCTCTTACCAATTCAATATATTAACCCTGCTATCACTTGGTAGGATTATGACTGATCATAGTTTAAATCTATACCTGCTAGTAGGTTAATAGGTAGACAGCAATTAAACATAATAATAATAATAATAATAATTCATTTTCTAGAACTGTCAGTATAAAAACAGTCTCTGGCATTAATACATGTGTATTAACTAGAAAATGAATGAATATCCATAAAGTAGAGCAACAATCTATACATATATACACACACAATGGCATTATATCTAAATACCTGATAAGGTGTTCCTGCTCTCTAGGAAAAGAAATGAAGCATTAGTCATAGGGAACCAGGGAGTTTTAAACTGCAACATTATGTTGCCATGGTGTCACCCAGTACCATGGAAATATCATCATTGTACACTGATTGCCATGCTCATTTGGGAATTACATCTCTACTGAAACATAGACCAAATGGCATATAGCTCTAGAGAGTCATTAATGAACCCAATTGGATTCACCGCAAGACTTTATAGAAGACCTTTTGTGGAACATATGGCAGAATAAAAACAATTATTCTAAAAATAGAAGCATGACATCAAACATCCTAGAGATGTGATAACTAAACTGGACAGGAAACATGTTTGTAAAATACATTTCCCATGGAACTCAATCACCCCTTCAGAATACTGTTCACAAACATTTGTCGTACCGGAATTAGTCATCAATGCTCAACTATTGCAGGAGTGTCATTCTGAAGTTGAAAGTAAACAGATCTTTGAAAAGGAATCAAACAACTATTAATTTGTTTAGGACAAATAAACAGCAAATTAACCATATGTCCCAAGTGTTGCTATTTAGGAGGGGCAGTTCCTAAATCCTTCTGTCTCTCTTTTCTATCCTTATGTTTTTTTTTTTGTTTTTTGTTTTTTAATAGGAACTCCATGTTGTTGGTGTGTCTAAGTGTATAACAGAGCCCCTCAGCTCTATAAACTACAATAACGGTGTTTAGAAATCAGTCTGTGTACAAAGGATATACTGTTCTTGTTCTAAATTGCATTTTAGTTATAAATGGTTATCAGTAAGTCAGCTGAAATGTCTCAGAACAACCCCGGCCCTGGCCTCTTATACCTCAAAATTGAAAGGGACACTATAGTCACCAGAACAACTACAGCTTATTGTATGTATTCTGGTGAGTATAATCAGTCCCTCCAGGCTTTCTGCAGTAAACACTGCTTTTTATGAGAAAAAGGGGGCTAGATGGTGGTGTTAACACTATAGGGTTTGTGTTTCTGACCCTATCGTGTTGCTTTAAATTGTTCATTTGTCCATTTGAAATGTTGGAAGGTGTGTGTGACATGCCCCCTTTTCCTATAAACAGAATTACAATACTGATTCTTCATTATTTATATATTTTTTTACATAATTAATATAATTTTATCTTGTAAAAATCTAGTTACTGTTAGTTTAATATAACAGAAAAAAATGTTGCAGCATGGTCACTTGTGAGGTGATGTCGGTTTGCATGACGGCACCCAGCACAGGATGTAGATATACTTATCTTACACTTCCCTTCAGCAAACTTACAGAAACCCCCCCTTCTTGAGAGTACATAATGGAGGATCTCCAACAGATCTTGGATGGGTTTATGGCATACGTTTTGCAGGATGCTCCATAGATATCTTTTGCAAGTGTTAATAGACAAAGTAGAAATCTATTGAGCAACGTGAAAAAAATTCATGTTTCCTTCAGCAGTGATTGATGAGACAAGATGTGGTACGTAGGAGATGTTTGAAATTCCTCACATCATTCCATTTTTCCAAACATTAGCTTGTCCATAAGGGAAAGTAAGCTCATCTTATCGAATGATAAATTGTGAATGTGCTGGATTTTGTTTTTTTTAAATATTTAATAGTAATGTTTTTTGTATGTCTAAAAAAACTAAATTCAAATTAACGAGACTTATACAAACATTTCTGCTATTGACTGTAAAATGTACGGCAGTGTGTTAATAGTCTTAGGAACAACGTGAATGTCCACATACAGTATCAGTACCGTTGTGAAATAGTGAGAAAAGTGAAGACAGCACTAAATAAAAAGATTTGATTTCCAATTTCTAATCTTTAGATAGCTTCAACAAACATTGAAACCATGGACTTTATACAGTTAATAAGTTCATGACACAATCTACTTAATAACTAACTATTCAATTTAGGTTAAAGTTTTATGGAGAGGCATGTTCCATTCCTCTAGTCCAGGCATAGGCAACCTTTGGCACCCCAGATGTTTTGGACTACACCTCCCATGATGCTTTGCCAGCATTATGGGTGTAAGAGCAGTATGGGGGAAGTAGTCCATAACATATGGAGTGTCGAAGGTTGCCTATCCCTGCTTCTAGTCCTAGCAATAGTTGTTAGGCAACATGATTCAATCATTTTTGGGGGGTACAATTCCTATGCATGTGTTTCCTTTTGTGATTGGATTCTAGGAAATAACACTTACTTTTATATTCATACATTACATTGTTCCATGGGTTTTTGATCCCCACAACTTCTACAAAGATTGGATAACAGAATGTTACTTAAACACTGGTATCCATCTTAAATACACATTTTGTTATATACAGTGTTTTAAAATACAGATTTGTGTTCCTAACACTAGTGAGCCCTCTTGCCCCTGCCTTCCTTTGCAACCCCACCCCCATTATATAATAATAAAATAAAAAGAAACAACAATACACACCTTTGTTTACTTTCCCGATCTCCCTCAGCGCTGATTCGGCGCTCCTCCTTCTCCGACAGGGGCACATGCACAGCATGAAGATGTCCAGTGTCATTAAGGCGAACAAAAGTATGGTAAACTCCCAGAAGCATCTCTAACGGCTGACTGGTAGACAGCCACTAGAGGTTCAAAGAAAGAACCAGTATTGTGTAAGCGCTATGGGATGTCATACAGACAATATGGCAGCACTCACAACAGTAATACACACAAATGTACACAAGAATCGATAGTTAACAAAAAAAAAGCACACTAAATTGGTCTGTAAATATAAAGAAGGACAAATAATAGTGCAGACTATCTGAAGAAGCACAACAGAAAAATTGGGGGAGTATAAGGGAAATAACTCACATGTACCAGAGCCCTATCACCCCTGGCTCTGGGTTTTCAAAGCTCCTCTGGAGAAGGGATATCCCCACACTGAAAATCACCCCACACCGTGTATCCACTAACAGCTCAATGACACTGTATGAAATAGAGGGTAGAGAAGGGCAGGACCTCCAACTGAATAATATCAAAAGCAATTTATTGAATAACAAAAGTTAAAACCCTTACTTGGAATGTGGTGGGTATATGCTCACAAAGCTACCCGCATAAAAGCATATAAAACAGGGGGCGGACCTGGAAGCGGATCATGTGATCGAAACGAAACCAGGAAGTGATTCTGATTCTTTGCTGTTTTATATGCTTTTGTTCTATATGGGGGTGAGTGAAGTCAGCACTAAATAAATAAAAAAGTTGATTTTCAGCTTTAGATAAAGTAAGCAAACATTGAAACCATGCACTTTATGCAGTGAATAAGTTCATGGCACAATCGACTTAATGACTATTCAGTGTGGGTTGAAAGTTTATGCAAAACCATATTTCCCTCCTCTAAGCTATAGTTATTAGGCAACATGATTCTGTTGGTTTGGTTTTCTAAGTACAATTGCTATGCATTTGTGTTCATACACAATTACCTTGTTCCAAGGGTTATTGCAACATTTTGAATAATAAACTTATTTGAACACTGGCATCCACCTTAAATACTATTTTATTAATATTAAATGATACCTCTAGCACCACATTTATTCGTTTTGTAGTTTTTTTATCTAAATAATCAAAGGATAACTCTGGACACCATTCACTTCAGTTTAATTAATTAGTTATAGTGTGAGGTGCTCTCAGGTGCTGACTTACCCTCAGAGGTTAGTCAATTTAAGTAGAAGTCTGTTCCAGCCTCAGACCAGGCCCTGCTGAGAATATCATTAGCTCACCATTGACAAAACACAGTGAAACAGTTAAGTACCAGTTTCACCCCATTTTGTGAATGGAGAGCTACTGTTAGGTCAGCTAACATAATGAGTGGCAGCTGGCCCAAAGCTCCTTGTTTGAAGCCTGAGATTGGAACAAGTGAAAGGGCAGAGCTCACGGGTGCCAGATCAATGACTTTGGAGTTAAACCATTCACTAACTTTTTAACCCTTTTTAGCTAAAAAAAAGTGTTAAAAAAAGTTACGGTTAAAATCCCATAACGACTTCATTGTCCTTTAAACTGTATTTTTAAACACCCCATTTTGTAAATAGTTTTACAAACAATAAATAAATATTTTTTTTACAAATTGAACCCTGCCTCTCTGTTCCACTTCAACCATTCTAAAAGACTTCCTTCCTGCTGGTTCATATGCTTACAATTCTATAAAAGGCCTCTCCCTCCTAGCATAGAAGTTGTACATGTCATCAGGAAGCTAAGCAAAGCTGTAATTTAGCGAAGAGATATTATGAGAACAACAGAGAACGTAGGAACCTTGCTATAAAACATGTTTACACGATCATATGTTACATGTTTTATAAAGTTATACTATATACATCGAAACAACTTTAGGTTAATTAAGGCGTTTTGGTGTATATATCATGCCCCCACAGTGTCACTGCACAATTTTCTGTCATTTAGGAGTTAGATCACTTTTGTTTCTGTCTCTGCAGTTCCATCCACACCTCACCTGGCTGTGACTCACACCGCTTGCATGAAAAAAATGGTTTAATTTTCAATTGGATTTTAACTTGCTTTAGACATTTTTATCTCCCGCTCTATAAATTGAGCTGTAATCACACACAGGGTGCTTCTGCAGGGTCTAAGTTATTACCAGTGTATGAGATAAGAAAATTTTGATTAAATAGACAATGCAATAAAGGAAGTTTAAACATTAGATCTCTCTTTACAGGAAGTGCTTATGAAGGAAGTCAGAAGCAGGGAGGTGTGACTAGGGCTACATAAACAAAGTGATTTAACTCCTACATGGAAAAGAATACACCATAACTGCTTCATTAAGCTAAAGTGATTTTAGTGACTACAGTGTCCATTTTAGTGTGCAGTGCCATGCACTCAAGGCTGCCAAAGCCAAAAAAGCTCTGGCCTATACTTCATACTTTTTAAATATATAGGGGATATGTAAGCATAATATTAAAGCAGCACTGTCAATCCCCCCTTCTGTCCCTTGAAAAAACAGGTATTCCATAAAGATAGAATTTTTATGAATTACTTATTTTGACTGTGTTGGAATTTCACTGAAATTCTAACGTAGTCATGAGAAATAGAGAAACAATATTTTGTCTGAATATATTTTCCACCTGATAATTCTAGACACTTCTAGACCTGCCAGAAGAAGATGACCATGTCCACAAGGGACAGGTTCTGATAAGTAGAACTCATGTTCACCAACCTGACCCCTGGTCACCATCAGGGGTGTTTGTGAATTCTGGAGTGCCACTTTAAAATTCCTGGGAGTGACAGTTTCCCTTTAACCCCTTAAGGACACATGACATGTGTGACATGTCATGATTCCCTTTTATTCCAGAAGTTTGGTCCTTAAGGGGTTAAAGAATGATTTTATTTGGTAAAGTTTAGATTATAGAAAACGTATTAGTAAACAATTTCTTTAGGCCAAAATAGCTAAATTGGAATGTTTCTCCCTTTTGGGTATTTTTTCTAGCGCGAGTATTTTATCACCAAATTTGTAATTGCCTTGTCAATGAGCTATTATGGTTGTTTTCATGAATAAACCACAGAACTGTTCATTCTTGTCTCCATGTATTTATCAGTGACTAAATTATCTTAACTTCTTTTCTTGACAGAATAACTACATTCCTGCTGAACAGGTTCTCTGACCTTTCGGTACAAGAACATCTTATTGGAGTGTTATGTGTATATTAGCTGCACCAGAATAGAATAAGATTGTATCAGTACATTCCACACAACAACAAAAATGTCAATGAGTAATTACTTATTTTGAAAGGTTGGCCAGAAAGGAGAGGACTATCCCACCTCTTAACATTGTTGAATAGAAATGCTGGAAAAACCAGCTTGGGGTGTTATGACGAAGCATTGGAATACATTGAGGGCGTCTTAAATATTGCATTTAACATTAGGGCTGTTACCTGTTACTAGCACAAGTATGATTCAGCCCAATCTGGATGGCATTGATACAGGCCTCCCAATTGTCCTGAATTCAGCAGTTCAGTCCCCATTTTAGACCAGAACCAAAATACCAGGGTGCGCCAAAAAAAACAGCATAAGAAAACAAAAAAAGATGTGTAATATCTGAATTAGGTAAAATCTACAATACGAAAAATCTCACTAAGACCTAATAATGTCCCTTAAAGGTAGTTTAAATAACAAAAAACAAAACAAAAGATAAAACAAATAAAACAGTGCAGCAGGTTCCTTAGATCTAGAGATATGGGATGACAACTTAATGATAAGTATCCCATATATCCAGAGCCAAGGAACTTGCTGCGCTGTTTTATTCAAGATAAGACTTTATTCTATTTTTACCTGAATAGAAGGCACATTACTTTACACACCTGGCCTTTATTTTTGCTTTATCTTTTGTTTTGTTTTTCGTTATTGAACTTTCCTTTAAGGGTCATTATTAGATCTTAGTGTGATTTTACCTATTACAGATATTACACTGTTGTTTTTGTTTTCTTATGTTGTTTTTGGTACACCTTGGTATTTCTTATTTTCTTGTCTCCACTTGTTTTAGTTTTTTTTTGGGAGGGAACCCCCTACGCTTCAGGTTTGCTGCCTCCCCGTTTATTTTTGTCTAGTTTTCTAAGCGCTGCTTCACTCCCTTTTTGTCAGTCCCTATTTTAGGATCCAGTCTTGATTTTGCCCCCTAGTGTGGTGTTTTTGGGAACACCAGGAAACTGTCTCTGGAAAGTGTAGAGCAAGTGCATCATTAGATGCGCTCGCCCTATGTAAAGGGCACTAGGGCTCAGCAGAGAGCACTGAAAAAGTGCTCTCTACAGGGCCTGCCATGGGTGGACTTGCCTGCTTGACTGGCAGGCAGTGTGGTGTTCACGCTAACCTAACCGTTCTTTATGCGATCCCCACTTCACTAGCTTACCCTCTTTAACACAGCCCACTGTTGGGAGGTCTGTTGATAAGATGTGAGTTCTGAGCTAAACCATTCCCGGTTTTCACATGGCTTTTAGGGTTTAATGGATGAGGACAGATTTCTGTAAAAGTGCTTTTTTGTCGTACAACTTGAAAAATTTACCCCATGACACCTTACATCAAATTACAATAAGCTGAAGTGGTTATGGTCCTTTGAGTGTCCTTTTAAATGTTATTAATATTGTCAGACCATTGTGAGTTTGTGTCTAATAAAAGCTAACATCCTAATTTCCTCTTTTACATATTGTGATAATAAGTACCGCAACTCAACAAAGTGGTAGTTATATGCACTGGCTATAGATATGGAAAATTTTAGTGGACTCCTTGCCTGGATTCCATTGGGCGATGCTCCTTGTCTCTCTACAGACTTTGACTTTGTCTGTTTAGGAGCTTCCATTAGCTCTTCTGAGCTAAGTGCTGCTTCAGCAAGAAGTCAAACCACTGTAAAATTGTTTTACTACTTACATTTGTGGGGCACCAGGGCACTTCTGACACCATAACCACTACAGTGCACTGTAGTTATGGTGTCTGGAGTGGAGAGTTTCTTTAAATGATCTAAAAAAGAAATTAGATGATGCCTTGTGCTTATAACAAAACCCATGTTCCTGCTGCTGGTTTATTAAGAAGGTACAGTATTCATGAATGTTCATTTCATTGTTAACTAATTCAAATTGTCTTTTAATCATTGTGGATAAATTCTGATGTATAAATCTGTAACATTTAAACTGGCACCTCCAAAAATGACACTTGGAAGCCAATGCACTCACATGCATCATTGTGCAGTCCTTTTCGCAAATACTTCATGCTTAGAGGGGATTCTAGTGGTTGATTTTAGGTGTATTCACTAAAACATGAATTGTATTGAAATGGTAAGATTTAGTCAACAATAGATCCAACTTGGTTATAGTCACAACTTTAGCCTACAGTTTGCTTTTTATATTTTGATTCTCTACAATTCCGAGTTTTATAAATAAACCCCATTAGTGTTTGACATTTCATTCTCAACTCTGTCCTACTTCTATTTTCACACCTCAACAATATAAACACAGATTAGGATAATGTACATAAAGCACTCCCTTCAGTCCTAGGAGTATATAGAAACTTGCAGCCTATGTATTCAAAGCACAAATTAAAAAACGAACAAAATGGGAATCTAGGCCCTACCTTCAGTGACTTCCTTGCTGCAATTTTAATCATAACCTCTTAAAAGATTTACACCACGTATCATGAGGTTTACATTATCTTTACTTACCCTCTGTATTTCACAAATACAAGTATAAGAGGTCTGAAAATTAAAAATAAATGTGGAAATCAAAACTGCTATATTTACCTCTACTTAGGAACTGGATATTTCCATCTTGGCTCCCTGTCAATTGTCATAAACGTTTCCCTTTTCTGCCTTAGAACAATATATTTATTGCAAGAAGAAAAGCAGACACAATGTTTCTATTTTTTTATTCATTCATTAATTCAATCATTCATTCATTCAATTTGTGACCTGGCTGAGTGTCTATATTCTGAATAAGATTGTAATGTAATTTGCTAAATGTTTAAAGGACCACTATAGTGCCAGGAAAACATACTCGTTTTCCTGGCACTATAGTGCCCTGAGGGTGCCCCCACCCTCAGGGTCCCCCTCCCGCCCGGCTCTGGAAGGGGGAAAGGGGTAATAACTTACCTTTTTCCAGCGCTGGGCGGAGAGCTCTCCTCCTCCTCTCCGCCTCCGTTACGCCCTGCCGGCTGAATGCGCACGCGCGGCAAGAGCTGCGCGCGCATTCAGCCGGTCTCATAGGAAAGCATTTACAATGCTTTCCTATGGACGCTGGCGTGCTCTCACTGTGATTTTCACAGTGAGAAGCACGCAAGCGCCTCTAGTAGCTGTCAATGAGACAGCCACTAGAGGATTAGGGGGAAGGCTTAACCCATTCATAATTATAGCAGTTTCTCTGAAACTGCTATAATTATGAAAAAATGGGTTAACCCTAGAAGGACCTGGCACCCAGACCACTTCATTAAGCTGAAGTGGTCTGGGTGCCTAGAGTGGTCCTTTAATATACAACTTAGACCAGCACTCCTCCCCCTCCCCACCCCACACAAAAAAATGAGTACATGATATAGATAGAACCTTTATGAAATACAAATTTTTACTGTGTTGGAAATTGACTGAAATTCCAACCCGGTCAAGAGATATACAGAAACAAAAGTAGGAACTACTTTGCCTCTGTGTATTTCAACCACCAGACTTTCTAAGACACTGGGTGGAGTTACAGTGTTAATCCCGACATGGCTGCAAGGAATTGGCTTTGTCTTTGGAGCATCTTGCTAATAGGGCCTCAATACTGTAATCTCGAGTATGATAAAGTGAAAGGAGCTAAAGAGGACTGCTGAGGGAAGATGACCGCGACCACGAGGGACAGGGTTAGGTAAGTCAATTCCACCTTTACTTACCTGCCTCCGGCCAGCAGACCACTAGCTGCGATGTCACCGTTGAGGGTCTTTGCGAATTTTGCAAAGTTCCCAGATGGTGACATTGCCACTTTAAGAGAAAACAAAGCATGGCGTGAAAAATAAAGGTTTAAGGGTTACAGATGATTTTATAAGCTTTATTTGATGGTGTAATTTCCAAATAAATCAGTGTTTCCCTTTAAATTTTATTTTTCTTTCTTTCAGACTTTTAGTTTGCATCTGTTTTACATCTAAAAGTTGTAGGTCATTGAACAGTAAAGGTGCTGTTTTCTATAGCCTGCTTTTCTAAATGTAAAGCAGATGTAAAGTAGAAGGAAATAGGCAATAAAACAAATAAAAAAAAGAACAGAAGTTGAGAGAGATGGGAGAAAGAGTAAATGAATGTGTGCACATTAGCTCATACCCCTGGAACTATTCTTAAATAATCTACAGGAGAGGATTTTGCTTAGTCACCCCTATTGTGTTGTGCAGAACCTGAGTTATTATGTGCTGTAGTGCACATGAATAGCAATACTCCAGGGATATTTCACTAATCCTCCAGTATATTTTTTCCCCCACAGCAGGTTTTTTCAGTCATCTTACAAAGAAGCCGAGCATAATAACCTCCTATGGGTGTTGCAATGTATGAGGTAACTTAATAGCAATAGGTAGAAAAGGAAGATAATGAAGAAAGGCTTGGGTGTTGGCTGGTGATGTTCTGCACTGATCAAACTGTGGTTTCGTAGCGACTTATGAAACATTATATCCTGGAATAAATAATTAAAACATTGATAGGAGCTGTTACAGACAGATCTAATGTTAACGTAGATATCAGGCATAATTTGAGTAGTGCAATTTCTGTCCTGTTACAACATACACTTGGCATGTTGACTGCAGATGGATTTTGACATTACAGTGTTACATTTTAACACAATGTAGTTAATTATGTTAACATTTTATGTAAGGTTAAGGATTGTGTAGTTTTTGTTTCTTGAACTCTGGATAGCCAGTTAGAGGTTAGCTAGATCATAAAGTAATAGGTGGTGTCTTATTAGTACCTCTTGTTCAACTGTGGAGCTAGTCAGAAGCTGGTGATTGTATGGGACACCTGGCAGAATAAACACAATGGCCCAGAATTACAGTGCAATATAACTGCATATAGCCAGTGCTGTAGAGCAGCTGGGAGTGTCAGGAAGAGGTGGAGGGCATTAATAGTGTCACGGCATCTTGTTCTATTGGGCTACCAGCTAATGGTCTCACACTAGTTACGGTTTCCAGACTGCTACTGCCATCATCCGCTAAAACTACAGCTCTCCATTCTTGATTCTGCCTCAAAACATCTCACTACCTGCTACTACCAATACAACTATAACTACCACTGCTCGCTTCTCCTTGAGTTCCAACCATGTCTACTCCAGCCCCACTGCCTATTCTGGGATGATTACAACTTCTGCTGATCCAACTATTATCTTTTATTACTCACACTGTGCCTCCTCACACCCACTTCTTGCCCAAGATCTACTCTCCATTTCCACCAAATATCAGTTTTGTGCTTCATAAAGTCTCAGGAACACATCAGTGTTATTCAGTTTCCCATAATACATGGTTTTCCATTGTGTATTCTGCCTGTCTGTACTTCCATCATGCATACTCTGCCTTTCCCTCTGACCAAACATATGTTAGTAGCAGTAGGTATGTATACATGCATATATACACACATACATATCGATTTATACATTTACACACACACACCAAAATAAATATAAATAAATCTATTATATTTACTATATTTATATTTATGTCTCCCATATATATTTCCATCTTGCCCGTGTGTGTTTGTTGCTGGCCAGATATGAGATATTCACATGCTGTCCTCAGGTACATGATTAGAGCTGTCTGACATTATGTAGAATTCACTGGGGGAATTAAATCATTTTTTACAAATGTAATACAAAATAAATTTTCACTACTAAAGAAACACTTTACTAGATAGACTGTTTAATAGTAAGGGAACCATTTTTGCATAAATATATACAAAACGGCTCCTTCTTAATAAGCAATACAGCCCTGCACCTCTATATATTTTATAAGAGTTCCATTTGTAGTATACAGAGATTAATGGGTGTACCTAAAGGCTCTATGTCATATATGGCTAAAATGGTGACTTTCAGAAAGTGACTATTACACTAACATGGTTATTTACTATAATGAAAATTCAAAGTAAATTGAATTTCAAAGTTAAGGCCAAGTAGCCAAATTGAATTTTTTTTTCCAATTTGGCTATTTTGACCTTAAATTTGAAATTTGCTTTGAATTCCTAACAAATCTCACTGTAGTAAACAATCCTGTGAAAATATGCAAAAAATGACACTATATAATATATGCAGCATGATATTAAAGCTGGTAGATAATTATGTGTATTTTGCTGGGTATTCTGAGCAAGAGAGCGGGTTATGTGAACATGTATGGTGTACACATTTATGATTCTGACTAAAAATAAAGCAGGATAGAACTTTTTAAAAGTTACATTGTGAAAAGTAGATGCATCTACATTAATCAAATTACTATTGAACTAAAACATAAATTAGCTATATATATATTTTTTACCAATATTATTAAAAATACATTTGAATAAATTTATGTATCTAAAAATGGTTATTTAGTAATAGACTGAAACAGTTTACTATACTTATTATCCATGAGTATTTTACAGTGCTTAATTCTATTGGAGAAAATAAAAATAAAGCATTATTTCAATAACAGGATCCACTGCTGGCGTCTCAGAAACTGCAAAGAAGCAATGACAATGCAATTACTGTAGGTCATCATGAGGCCATGCTAATTTTAAGGACTAAGAAACTAACAAATATTTAACTTTAAATATACAAAACTTCCTACACATTACACATATTTGATTAAATATATTATTAATTATTACTTTTCCTACATAGAAAGATGTCAGTGGCTTGATAATTACCTCAGCAATCGAAGTTTTCAGCTTTAATATAGGCAGCAACTTTCCTCTGCAAGGTCTGGCTTACAAGTGGGAACTGTTGGGCAGCAAACACAGTAGCTTATATGTGTCAAACAGGAAGCATTGTATATAATGTGACTATCGCCCCCTGGAGGAAACAGTTAGCCATAGAAAATGCACTTTTTTTATGTGTTATTGCTGTCTTGGGAACTTTGGTTTTGTGTTCAATGATCCTAGATAGAAAGTTAATCATTTATTTATTGCAGTGAAATATGCAGACTTATAAAATCTTTTTAACTGACTAAATATGCTGATACTCTATACCCGGGGTAGGCAAGCTTTGGCACTCCAGATGTATACCTGTATGTGCAGGTTGAATGTTGTGAGTAAGTTTTTTTTATTTGCCCCCTCCATCTTACGTTTTGGCAGGAGGGGGGTCTTATCCCTCATGGTCCAGTGGAGTGCGTTCTGCACAGGATCCCTGATTGTCCAGGGGGGAGCATTGTAGACTGCGCCTCTATCCTGTGCAGATCACTTCCCTCGCAGTCCTGGCATTCAGAGAGCTAGATATAGCACTTTGAGTCAGTGAGAAACACCTAGAGCCTGAGGTACCTCTTAAAGTGATCTGCACCAGATTGTGTAGAAGTGTAACAGACCTTCATAGCAACAAAACTTACAGTAATGTGTAGTGTGCATGAGTGTATCACAGAGCTCCACAATAAAACTCAGCTATGTGCAGAGTACATGACTATATCACAGTGCTCCTCTGAGCAAATGAGGTTGAGTGTGATATTTGAGGAATGTGTGTGTTTTCAGATGTCTAAATGATGTTAATGAGTGTGGGGTGGATGAGTGTTGTGAGTGTAGGGTGTTTGTGTAAAGACTGAATGTAGGGTTGGGTACAAGTGAATGTGAGGTGGTTGACTGAATATGATGAGTGTGGTGTTTGCAGAGTGTGATTGTGTTTAGAGTTGACTGAGTGTGATTGCGTGCGGGGATTGTTTGTTCTCAGAGCAGGAAAACTATTTTAGTCACAGCAGCCCAGTGAGAAAGCGGCAGGGCCAGAGAAGAGGGATGGTTTGTTATCACAATGACAAGCATTTATAGTGAACATGTTGGTTCCATGCTCTTCCAGGGTAGTCCATGCGCAGAACCCCACCGAGAAGCTCTTGCATAACAAAAAGCCCCTGGATTGGTTCAGTGCAGCACCGGCAAATTGATTGACACATTTGTGCTGTATTTGCCAGTGACTTGTTTTTGGTGTCTCTATAAGTGGGATAACAGAGGACAAAAGGGTCAAGAAGGCATATTTTGCATGTGTTTTCAGGCTGCTTGTGGGATTGTGATTGTGTAGAGTGAGCTAATTGTAGTGTGACGTTTTGTATAAATAGGTCGGTTTCAGTTGTATTGTGCTTGTGGTGTAATATGTGTAACTAGTGGCTGTAGAGAGTGAGGAAGTATATCTATAGGGGCATATTGAGTATAAGGGATGAAGCAAGTGTGTGCATAGGAACTGTAGTATATATGTATATTGGTGATGGTGATGTAGTGTTTGTAGGCACTGTAAAAATGTTCATGTTTAGGGAATGTAGTATGTGTTTGCATACAGGAAAACTCATGTGTACATAGAGGACCCAGAGCATGTATGTCAGGAATGTAGTGTGCATTTTTTGACACCCCCTGGAAAGTTCCGCTCAAGGCAACTGCCTTGTTAGCCTCTCGGAAGATACAGCGCTGGCCTTAACCTCCAAATTCCCCATATCTCAATCCGACTGAGCATCTGTGTGATGTACAAGGACAGCAAATCCAGTCCATGGAGGCCTCATCTCACAACTTGCAGGACTTAAAGGATCTGCTGCTCATGTCTTGGTGCCAGGTACCATAGGATACCTACAGAGGTTTTGTGGAGTCCATACCACGACGCACCAGAGCTATTGTGGTAGCACTAGGGGGACCTAAACCCAAGTTTCCAAAACCCCTTAACACCTGTACATGGGTGTACTCTAGCACTCGTGGAACGTTGCTGAGCAGAAATATGTGTATTATGACATTCACAGTTAATATGGCATGCAGAACTTAGAAAATAACATTTAATTTCTCTTTTTTTTTAGATTTCATTCATATAACTTGTGATATATATATACTATGTTTTATATATAAATATTTGATATGAAATTAAAGCCATGTTTCTTCTGAACAAAATTATATATAATAAGGGTGGGTACACTTATGAAAGAGGTAAATTATGGTTGAACAGAAATAGTCAAGTTCCGGGTTTTGTTTTGATCAAGACATGTACAATTGGCTCCGTCCTTGAGAGTTTAATTGTGTGCTGGGGGACAGTTGCACCCCCAGCTCACTTGACACTAGTACCCCAGAATGCTGTTCTGGGCTGCGTAATGTCAATTCTGTGCATATTTTTCCAACATATATTTTATTGTTTTTGTTTGTCATTTATCACACATGTCAGCACAGGTTTACAGTGGAATCAAAGGTTATAGACATGTTTGGAAAAACATTCCCAGTGATACACAAATATAGCATTCATAACATTCACAGTGTGTTATTTCTTTCCAACATAGTTTAAATTGTTCATCTGTGGTAAGACAACTCAAGAATCATATAGAAAGCAATATGTGCATCTCTACATTCTAACATTGTTTGATTCTGTTCATATTTAATGTCTGTTGTCAGCGCGCACTGCAAGCTGCTGACAGACGTTAAAATCTAGCTCTCCCACCCTCACTCCATTGAAGGCTGTTGTTTCATTATTGACAAGCCTGTGATTACACCGTATGTAGTCCCAGTGATGTAGTGATGGGATATGGAAGGCAGGTCTGTAGCATGGGAGTATGGAGCTCAAACGTTGGGGAGCTGTAGTGTAGAGAAGGGCAGGTTCTGTAGGTTAGAGGTTATTAGGGGGTGAAGTATAGGGGGCGATGGAAGTGTAGTGTAGGGGTTGTAGTATAGTGGGTTAGGGCAGTAGATATCTTGGGCATATTAAAAAAACAATATTAAAAATATAAAGTTTATCCCCCTTCCATATAAAATACAGTGCAAGGATCTTATCAGTGAATAATAAATAGATGCTTGATAATAGTAAAAACATATATACACTTAAATGTCCCAATAGCAGTGTAAATCCAGAGCAAATGAATATGTATGGTATAGGTGCCCCTAACCCTGTTCATGAGAATAATACAGGGTGGATGGTACCAATGCCAGATAATATACTTTTATATGAATAAAAGACAAAAGTGGTGTCCACATAAAATGAAGCACACCAGTATATGGTTGCTCTGGATTTACACTGCTATTGGGACATTTAAGTGTATATACGTTTTTATTATTTTTAAGCATCTATTTATTATTCACTGATTAGCTCCTGGATTCCTTGCACTGTATTTTATAGTGTAATCTGCATTGTTTTAAAGGTTTTTCTTTCCTGTTTTAGAACTATTTCCTCTTGCCTTATTCCCTCTTTTTTTCTGTATATTCTATCTTTAAATATCAGGATACTTGCACTTCAGTGAAATTGTCACAAAGAAAATTATATGTTTTCTGTTTACGTACTCAGCTTAGCCCATGACAGATCATTGTGATCTGAGCTGCTGACTTGACTTCTCCCTCACAGACAGGCACTGTGCTCTTATTATCTGTATGCAAAATTCCAAAGCTGTGCTACGAGGAAAGGGTACAAATAACTAGAGGACAACACACTTTTTGTATATTTGTGCTGTTGTGAGGGATTCTATTCGGAGGGTTCAATAATTTTTAGTCTGAAGAAGTCATAAATTGCATTTCCTGTTGAATGTGTGGAACCACTTCTTCTTATTCTTGTTTGATTTGTCCATTGCAAACAGCTGAAAGTCTATAGTTATTTACAATACACCACACAATCATTTCCCAACAGCAGCAATGATCACAGTACACATCAGCCCCAATACATACAATAAAAACCAAAGAAAAGAGTTATTTAAATATGCATAGGGATTTAAGATAGTGCACAAGTAACTCTTTTCTTTGTATTTTATTGTATGTATTGGGGGCTAATGTGTACTTTGGTCATTGCTGCCACCCAGGAGTAGTGAAAGTCTGAGTGCAGGACTTATTTTTGTGTGTTTGTATTCACTTTTGTTACAATGCTGCTGCCCACCCCATGTGTTAATGGTTAATAAGTATGTAGAGGTTTAGAAAAAAAACAACCTTTTTTTTTAACTGAAACTGAAGGAAGCAAGGTGAATTATTAGTGTAAGACCCCCTTAAGAGGTTTGCCTTGATGTGGCAGGTGAGCTTACAATCTAATGGCCATTGCAGTGATACTAAAAAAACTCTAGTTATGTAAATAAGCATAGGGATTTGGGAAAGTAACTATTTCATTTGGTTTTTATTACATGATTAGCCTAAATGGCAGTTTGACGATTGGGAATGATCACCCAATTGGCTCAATTTCATAATTCTAGTCATAGTGCAGAAAAAAAAAATAATTTTTTTTCCCCCTCAAATATATCAAGATTTGAATGAGAAAATAAAGCAGAACGTGGATATGAAGCCAAAATCTATCAAATGTACTTATTTTATGTTGGTATCTGGAGTATGACTGGGGTGTCTTTTCAAGAACGCTTGGTATGCTGCATGTTGTATAACAAAATGACGCATAAAACAAAAACTAAGTACTGAGAGTTCAAAGACGTTGCCTCAAAAACACACACACACTCTATCTCTCATTAAAATTTAAGAGTCAAACATATAACAAACAACAACAACACAATAAAATACTGCATATAAGACAACATAGAGTAAGGCACAATGTATATATACAATATATGTAAACAGAAATAGATTTGTAAAAGCAGTATAACATAAATTAATATAGTGTTATACTAATGTATCCAGTCTCACAGTGTAGCAAAAGTTGTATAATTTGTTTCATAAACTGGAGTAATTTTGCTATTAAAATCTATAAAGTTTCTGAGTTGTCTGAAGATCTGTTTTGGAGTGTAATTAAATGCATAGTGCTGGAGGCTCCTGGACGAGTACAGTCCTAAATATTTCTGCCAGCTGGAGCTCTGGTGTTCTATCTCCTGTGCTGGGCATGCGCCTTACCGGGAGAGGGTGTGGAAATAAGGAAACTCCATAGGGTCAGAGGCTGTCAGTCAACGGTAATTGTTCTATAAAAGCTAAAGTATTAGCAGTTTGCTGGTCTGGAGCATTCAGGTATTTGCTAACACAATGTCAAGGGAGAACAACATCAACAATGTTGCTGCCCATGAAACTGTGAAGGGTTATAAAGACCATTTTCAAACAATTTAATATCCATCATTCTACAGTGAGAAAATAATATTAAAAAATGGAAAATATTCAAGACAGTTGCCAATCTTCCCAGGAGTGGACACCCTAGCAAATTCACGCCAAGGTCAGACTGTGCAATGCTCAGAGAGATTGCAAGAAGCCCAAGAATTACATTGCAGACTCTACAGGCTTCAGTAATCATGTTAAACTTTAAAGTTCATGAGTGTATAGCTAGAAAAAGACTGAACAAATGTGGTTTGTTTGGAAGGGTTGCCAGGAGAAAGCCTATTCTCTGTAAAAACAAAATGGCAGTACATCTTATGTTTGCAAAGTTGCATCTGAACAAACGACTTCTTGAACAATGTCCTTTGGACAGACGAGAGTGGAGATGTTTGACCATAATGCATGTTTCACAAATGCCAAACAAACACATCATACCAACTGTCAAGGTGGTGGAAGGGTGGTGATTTTAGCTTCTTTTGCAGCCACAGGACCTGGGACCATGCAGTCATTGAGTTAACCATGAACTCCTCTGTATACCAAAGTTTTCTGGAGTCAAATATGAGGCCATTGGTCCAACAGCTAAAGCTTGGCCATGCAACAGGACAATGTTTACAAGTACAC